CATATACTCAGAGAATGAAGGAATGTCAGGGGCAATAGTACATCACTTCAAGTTAACATTAGTCAGGAGCACAGAAAAGAGAAAAACGAAATCACGCAGAAGCAGTTAGCGTTACACTTGCAGGTCTGTTTAGAAAATGTGTTTAACGTCCAGTAAACTACCTAACCTTGCATCAATTGCCAGTTAGGATTGCTGTCTGTTCCTTGTTTTGCTGAACATCATCTGAGGCATCATCTGAGTGTCGCACAATTTCCCTGCCTCATGCATCACCTGAAGCAGGCATGGTAATCTGTGATGCATCATTGATATTTTGAATACTCTAATTTGATGAATAATAAATGTATAAAATAGTAATTCAGGCAGAACTATATATACCCAAAATCATGGCTAGCGGAGTGGCCATGTAATAACCAAAGCTAATAGAACTACCCATTTCATTTTGTTTGATGTTCAAAAGTTATAGCTATGTTTGTGATTTGTACTTCTTGGTGTGTGCGTGTGTATATATATATATATAATATATTATATATATTTCTAAGAAGCATTGTAATGTGGTGGATATTATAATGTAGTGGATTCAGGGAGGGCCGATGAAGAAGATTCCGCTTTGGGCCCCGGTTTGGCTGACTACTTTGATTGTATCCATTCCACCAAAATTGCTTATATTCAAATAGCAGGTTGAACAATCCCCTTGCACTCAGCCAGACCCGGTTAAAAGCATAACTTGCAGCCAGAAGTGTTTCCTTTACTGTACTCCCAGCAGAATTTGTTGAGCATAAACAGGTTTTGGGCTGTTTTGGGCTCACGGACTCCAAATTCCCCCATGGCTGACTAATCTACGGCCATGAAGCGGAGCAGAGGAGACCGGCAGATACAAGGTCGCGAAAGCCACACGGCGCACATGTGAGGCGCAGGGGTATTTCTGTTGGTGTCAATCCCTCTGTGTTTGCATCGCTGGCACGGAAGGGCATTGTCTGACTGTCAGGCTTGACAGATGTCTGCTGAAGGCCACAGGCCGATCGAGCCTGCACATGAACATCCAGTGAACCTCTGCTGCCCAGATGCACCTTTGTGCAAGCTTGCTTGTGCTTAGGCTTGTGCGCATTCTGGTCACGTTTTTAAGCACAACTGCAGACATTAGGAGGGACACTGTGCCTATGCTTAAGGGACCATATATATATACCACAGATCATTATCAACATCTTAAACATCACATAAGAAGCAGGGGGTAATGTTTACCTTGGTCTGTGCAGCAATGTTGCTTTTCATTTTTATTGTCTTATTTTGCTGTTTTATTTTAATCTTGTTTATTTTTATCCATATTTTTATATTTTTCCTTTGTATTGCATAATTCCTTTCAAGCACAATTTGTGACTGTAATTCTCTGTACATTGGGGCCATCAAATCATGCTTAGTCCATCAACAGCTGGTCCAAAATGCCGCAGCGTGGTTTTTAACTGGTGCGACGAAGAGGGACCATATATCTCCAGTCCTGGCTTCCCTCCGTTGGCTACCAGTTTTATTATTCGTTTTTAGACCCTCAGATAGATTCGCTCTCCATTATATCGCCGCTTTGCTGGGCCCCTTTTCTGCATCGAGATCACTGAGGTCCTCAGACCAGCATCTTCAGTCTGTTCCAAGATGCTGGTTGAAAACAAAGAGTGACATGCATTTGCAGTAGAAGCACCAGAGCTTTGGAATATTTTACCACTGCACATTAGGTGTTCTTCATCAGTATTAGTCTTTAAATATACATTCAAAACTCACCTGTTTTCATTAGCATGTGAGGAGACTTCAACGTATGACAGAGCGGATTGCGTATCCGTGTTTCATGTTCGTCTTAAGCCTTCATATCATGCTGTAATTTTATGATCCATGTAATGCATTTTGGTCAGCAAGGGCTGACGCTAAAGTGCTTTATAAATAACGTTGACTTGACTATCTAATGAGCAGATGGAAAAAGCATTTTTCCACACAATTCATCTTACTGAGGTGGAGTGGGCATTTTTCATCTTGATTGTCCGCATGAAGCATATTCATTGTACCTTCCCTGGCACAGGCCAGTGTTCACCATGTTGTGCATTTTGTCGGTGACTTACAGTAGATTACAGAACGTTTGGTCAGCCCGCTGATTTCTTGTGAGTTACAAACATAATTGATGATCCCCAAAGTGAGTCTGAATAGCACTGTAAGGCTGAGTGGGTTAAATCGAAAGTACAATAAATGCATATTGTTAGAACCCTGACGACACCGGCGTTCCTGAGCCTTACTGTAAACCATGTGACTGCCAGGGCTCAGGCAGGATGTTAATTTGCCTCTTATTTTCAGTGAAGCGCGTGATTCCTTGGTCTCACTCAGCAGAGAGAGTGAGGATCACAGTCCCTCCTTTCTCACTCCTCCATCTGTCTCAGCAGCTGCTCTTCTGTTCTCTCCTTCTCCATTTCCCACTTCCCAGAATCCAGTGGAACATCTACCCCTGCGTTCCTCACAGGGTGTGGCTATAAATTCTGGGCCCCCTGACAAAGTGTCACCTGCCCACCCCCCCGTTAGTGTTTCCACTTTCAGTCTGAAAAAATATGGAGAAATGTGCCAGATATAGCATTCTGTTTTGCAACACAGGAGAAGCCAATAATATGAACACCAAATTGCAACTGGACCCCCCC